GCGTCGTCGTCGTCTCTCTCTCTCTCTCTCTCTCTCTCTCTCTCTCTCTCTCTCTCTCTCTCTCTCGGATTCCTCGAGATTACAAGTTCACAATATTAATCCCTTTACGATTTAATCGAGTGACTTGTCTCGGATTCTCGGAGAATTCTTGAAAAAATTTTTGCGAATAGAATTACAGATAAACTGGGCAATTAGAATACCTAAAATTGCCGATACATGAATTTGAAATAGTGTTTTGAATAAGCGTGTGATACAAAATTGTAAAAATTCTAGAGATGCATTGAAGATCGAAAGTTTCGAAAATCGAGTTTGGGTTGAAATATTTCGAGTATAAATTGGATTAAAACAAATTGTTTTTTAATAAATCGTTTTTTAAATTTTACACGATTTTATTTGATTCCATTCCAGCTGCGGGGAAAAATTATGGATATTTCACCTCTTTCAAGATATCTCTCTTTTTTTCCCCTCCTGCTGCTGAATAATTTTTTCAAAACTCGAAAACTCTCGTTTCGAGTAAAATTCACTTAATTCACCTAGGCTTCTTTTTAACATAAAAAATATGTACCCGTCTTATTTTAGTTTATTCGACAACGAGTGGAAATCTGACTGGATTGAGAGCGGAATTAATTTAAAAATATCGAAATTTAAAATCTAAAATCTACGTTTGAAAATAAAAATAAAATCTTCCTTCCAAAAATCGCGGCCTAACACGTTTTTGCCTAAAACGTGGTGGTAACGCGTCGTAATTGTCCGCAGCCAAATACGATATTCGAGGGCTCGCCACCACGATTACTTTCACACGCCACAGATTCAGCGCCCTCTGTAATTTCGTTCTCCTTGCTGCGCGCGCCACAGGCCTGCTCGCTTCTCACTAAAATTTCGAAATTCTGGTTTGGATCCTAGGATGGAAAATGGAAGTTCGACGTAAGTTGGTCAAGCAAGTAAGTTCCTTCGAGCAACTCTCCTGTCATCTTCCGCTCGGTATCGAGCTCCTCTTAAAATCCGACGTGGATCGAATGAACCGTCACGAGAATCTTCTTTGAGAACGATGGACGATCCGGTTTCATAACTATGAGTGGCCACGTCGATTAGAGTAGTGGCGCAATAAGAATGAAAAAGAGTGAAATTGTCGAATGGAAATATTTTAGCTTTTGGAAATTAGAAAAAAAATCGACTAAAAATTATAATTTGTAAGAAAGCGCGATTTATTATTTTACTGCGTTTGCTTGTGTCGGTTGTTTCGATTAATCGGAGAAAATGGAAGTGCAACAATTGCGGAGTAAAATTATAAGCAATCGAATGGAAATATTTTAGTCTTCTCGAAATTAGAGAAAATTGGTCGATGTAAAAATTGTAATTTCGATATATATTTTTCTCTCTCCTCTTGCACGAAAAATTCAGTGCCATTCACTATTTTATTACGTTAGTTATTAGAGGTTAATCGGAAATGGAGATGCAAATTTGCATTGCGATTGTTGCAAATTATAAGCCATCGAATGAAAATATTCAACAAAATTACAATTTCAATGTATTTTCCTTTCTGTAAAAATTATTTCATCGCAATTATTCCTTCAGTCGATTTCCTAATTTTTCAACTTCTTTTCTCTTGAATCAACTTACACATGATTCATGCGCATACATGAAGTTATATCATTAGACATTAGATTATCATTGTTCGATCGAACGAATTTTACCATAATTAAAAAAAATCGCGCCAATATCTTAATAAAAAAAAAAATCTCTTTCGTACTCGTAAATAAAAAAGTAATTAAGAAAGGGACAATGAAATCGGATCTTCTTTGGACGTCGTAAACGAAGCAAGACGGATTAAACCGGAAAGATCACGATATCGGGGTACGTTCCCTAAAAATGTCCCCGTCAAATATTGATCGAACGAGTCCCTGGTCGCTCGTTCTTCGGCCGAAATTATCGCTACCAGCTATATATAAATGATCCTCTCGAGGGGAGATCGGAAAGCGGTGGATGCAATTACGACAAATGTTGTTTTCGTGTTCCCAAACCGTGGTTGGTTGAAACGTTGCTTAATGCGTTTTTACAAGGAGCGGTGGTTCAGGAGAAAAAACGTTGGGCCGATCCATATTATCTCGTAACGATCACCGTGCTCTCGCGGATCACGCTCCCCTCGTCGTTTCGTGAAACCACATTGACATTTTTTGCGCTCTCGTCGTCCTTGTCGCTCGCGTCGGGCGAGAGCACGTTTCTTCCACTTCCTTTTTTTCGCACCGTGGATATAGTTAATGCTCGCGATTCGTCAACGACCGCTCGAGTAAAAAAGCACTCGTCCTACCCATGGATAATCCATCCTACGCCGTCACCCGTCCATTCTCGTCCCTTGTACCAGAGCACGATTATGACGAGGGGGAATTCCCTCTCCTTTCTCCCCCTAACGTAACGAGAAGCGTTTTTAAGATTTATTCGCCTGGATATTATGTCGCCGATGCGATCATCTTTTTTAACGAAAAATCGTGGCGAATTTCGCTTTTATAAAAATTTTCAACACTTAAATTCGACGAATTGACGTTTTACGAAGTGCTCGTCAAAATGTTTACTTCGATTTAACCGTATTATGTATACGTACAGTGGAAAGTGTAGTTTTTAATCATTCATCGTGCTCGTTTATAACTATAAAGTATACTTTACATTTTAGCGATTGACACGCGTCTCATACCTACCTATATTTAAAAAAAAGAAAGAATCGAAACTTAACCTGTTCCAACGATATCCCGACGATAAAAATTCACGTCCATTTTGGGACAAAGGTAAATGCGGGTTCGGTTCCATTTAAACGGAATTATTTCAAACCCCTTCTTCCATTAGTTTTCGAATACAATGCGCTCGAACGGGAGCGAAATTGTGGCGAGTGGATACGCGAACGCGGCAACACTGCAACTGCCGGATTAAGTTCTCCGCCACGGCTATCTTAATCGAGCGTAAATTATTTTTACACCTTTTTCGATTGTTTCGAACCACTACTGTATTCCCTCCAGTTCCTTACCATCTCTACTTGGGATTCTAATCGCGGGAGAAAGAGAATCACTTCGTTTCGCAATTTCGTCGAGGAATGTTGTGTAGAGGAAATTTCCAGCGTATTCGACTTCGCCGAGTTAGTGGATTCGAGATTTTTACGAGCACGGTTGAACCGCGCTGAACGCGGCAAGTCTCGAGAAATGGCGGCTGTGCAACGAGTTTACGTACGCGACGAACGAACGAAATTTCACGACGATGACGGTATAAATTTTTACAACCGTCACAAATTATTGCGAGCGTTTCTCTCTAAACTTTTATTTAATACACGTGTTGTATGCAAATTTGTCCCGTTAATTATCGATAGGTTGAGTTTATCGAAAACATGTCGTATCAATATGTTCTGTTAATTGAAGAAACGTAACTTTAATATCGATGGTAAATATCTGTGTGTAATAATATTATACCTGTTGTGTTTCGATTTACACGATATACACACACGTGTACGTAATTATTAAAATTAACAAAAGGCTTTTTGAAAAATGTGCGTTTATATCAACAAAGGATGGATATAATATAATTATAAAAAGATAGAAAATTGATGTTCTTGAGGTATCTCAGTTTTAAAGAGATGACCAACGGAAACGAAAACATCACGTGTATCCTAATAGTTGTTTTTTGTTTTTGCCGGGAAAAGTGTTTCCTCGATACGACTTTTGAAAATGTTTGACATATAAATCGACGTGTTTTTTCCACGCGAAATTGCTTCGATGTGTTTTTTTTTTTTTTTTTCCTTTTCGATTCGCGATCGTTTTAAAAAGCTCCAACGTCGTTTAATATTTACGACGTTCGCCGAAAGTCGAATCTCTCGCCACTACAAAAATATTATTAATCCTTTCAGAATCTTGATTAAGAAGTTTATATTATAATTATTTACATTAATCTTACATTATAATCCCGTAAAAGTTATCGTCATATAAAATAACACAAGTTTCGAGCTATAACAACGTATTAATTTTCATGGAAATATTCATTAAATCTCGTGCGTATCGATAAATTTATAATAAGTGCAAAATTTCTATATGAAGAGATAGATTTCATTGCGCGCAACACACATCGAACATTCGATATTCGTTATATAGAGCGGAGAGGATTATATATACCGATTGTTTCGCGAAGAAACTGAACAGAAAGTTGGAAAAAAAATATTTGACACCTATCCTTACGTTTCCAACAGGGAATACGATCGAGCTGAACATTTGTGAATATTTGCACCAGTTTCGGAATTCGCTGTAATTAACAAACATCACAAAAGAATTTTCGCGCAGAAATTATAAGAATAAAGATTAGATCCGTCTTGCGTGGAACGAATGAAATCCATCTCTTTTAATTTCGAAATTCGTTTATTTTCGCGTTTTTTTTTTTTTTGTTACGATCAATCGCGTTATAAATGGCGCGTTATAAATTTGAATTTTTTTTGGAAAAGAAGCGAGGGGGAGAAATATAATTGGATTTGTTGTTTTCGCTCACCCTGAAACTCCTTCCTGGCCGCGCTCACGGAAGTTACGATGTTGGCTACGTGTCCGAGTACCGTGGCGAATAACAGCAGGCCGAACAGCAGCTGAGCTATTACAAACAAATACTCGCCTTTGCTTCTTGGCCTGGAAAAAAATGAAATGGGCGAACATAAGTTGCACGTTCTCCCGTACGTTTCAAATTATTGATGGATATATTCGCAGAGAGATAATTTTTTAATTTCACGAATAACGTGTAACGTTAACTGGACAAAATTCATTTTGAAATGTATAAAAAATAATTGTTTCAATATAACGTAACAGATTAAACAAAATACAGGCAAAGAATTAATATAGATAATTGATCGCTCGTATTTCAACGATTGAGAAACATTTATTAAAATTTCAATTTTGTAACATCTCGAAACATCTGTTTTAATTTAAACCGTTATCGATAAGTTTTTTTGGTTTTCTTTTTTTTTTTTTTTGTTAAATTAAATTTAAAGTTGAATAATTACTTCGCATTAGAAATTCGCGAGACGCAATGATTCGTTCACGCTGCTAGAGAGTCGAATGTACGAAAAGTAGAAACTTTCTACTTTTTTTTTTTTTACCGCCATATTTAATTTGCAAAACTTTGCAAATTATATATTAACGACACCTGGCGGATTCTTTAATTTAGCCACCGATATTTATGGATTCATTTTAATCTATCTTATGTTATAATATGATAATATTAATGATAATATTCCTAACGTTAATTGAAAATAATGAATATTTTTCATTTTATAATTTTCAGTTTCACCGTTTTTATCGTTATTTCGTTAAATTATCGTTAGGCACAAATTTGATTCATATTTATCGGATAATTTATATAATAGGATAGAAGTGTCGAGGATATTCCGTAGCAAATAACCATAACTTCTTTTTTTTAATAAGCATTTTTTTCTTAACATTTGTTTCTTTGGAATACCATTTCCAATTCTCAGGTCCAGTTTTAGCTTGTCAAATTCGAAGCGTTTTTCAAGTTAATTGCTACAAATATTGCCATAAATATTCACATATATATCTTTTAATATATTAATTATTATGCATTTTCTTTTATATATTTTATGTTATATACGTTTTTAATGAAATAATAAAAAAACAGTATCGTAATAATTTTGTCCAGTTGGCTCCTATTATTCCATTTTTATTGATTTTATTTCAAGCTATTACTAGAAATTAAACAAAATTTTGTTCGACATCGTTTAATGCTTTGCATTTGAGCTTAACCTAATCCTTTTTTATTATTTTTATTAAATAAAATCTTCACCATTCACCGTTTTGCAGAAAAATATTTAAAAAAAAAAAAATCGATCCTTTATATCACATCGATTTCGATTCGCTTCGATCGTTCTAATCGGAATTTTCGTATCTCTTGTAATTAAGTTTCTAAGTAGAAACTGTTTAGAAGAAGAAGAAGAAGAAGGAAAAGAAAAAGAAGGAGAGAAAAATCGATAAAATTACCTGGGGAGATCGCCGATGGTGGTGAGGGCCAGCGTGCACCAATAGTAGCTTTGCAAATATTGCTTCACCACGTCCGCGGTCTCGGAATCGCTGAATACCCAGTTCTTACTTCCGAACCCGTTGTTCTTATAAATAATGTGATAGAGGCACCCGTTCCAGTGAAAGATCACCAATAAATAATGTATCAAGGAGGTGGAGCGGAATAAATTCGGATAGTTGGTGTGTCGCTCGGTTCTGTCCATGAACGCCCAGAACCTGGTTTCGTAGAAAGAAAATTCCGTCATATTTCATTGTTATTCTTTTTTACCTTTTTTTTTTTTTTTTTGTTTTCAAATTATACGAATTAAAAAATATCAAGTTGGTAGGAATTACGATTTTTCTTTTTTTTTTTTTGGATCACTTCAACGCACGATATTGGAATTAAAAAAAAAGAGAAAAGTTCTGCCTGCAAGTTTTTTTTATTATAGAACGTAAACGAATATCGCGCGGTATATCATTGTCATGGCGGAATTTTTTTTTTTATCCGTTTAAAAAAAAAAAAAAAAAGACGAGAATTCTCTCGTTCCCCGACATTTCGATAAAAGTGTCGACGTCGAAACTGGACTCGAACATTCATCGTTCGTCGCTGCTTTACAAGTCGAGTATCATTTGCAAATTCCGATTATCAGGAAATAATTAACGAGACGACGATAACTATTTATCGTCGATTATTATAGTCTAGAATAATAAATTAATACAGGGGAAATAGGGATCGATAACTTCCCCTCTGACTACGTAGTTTATTAATGGTTTCGAATAAACGAAATGATAAATCCATTCGTTAACGTCGTCGAGTTTGTTCACTCACCGATATATCTTCACGAGCCTAAAACTTCGAAGTATACTGTTGAATCCTATAGATAAGTATAAAAAATCGAGGGGCAGCAGGCACAGGATGTCCATGTAAAACGTAGTGCTGTTCGTATAGTGATTTCGTAGCTTGGTCGCGTCTGTTTGCAAGACACCGTCCTCCAAGTATCCGGTTCGGATGTGAAACACTATGTCCAGTACGTATAAAAAATCGGAGAAGTAGTCCAAACAGAACCACACCCACCGCGTTTCGCCTGGACAACGACAAAATAATAATATGTATATATGAAAAAAAAAAAAAAAATAGTACGTATACACGTTTAATTATTTTATCGAGCGAAATTTTAACGAAAATTTAAACGAAACAAAATTTCAGCGTTATAATATATTCAACGCTTCGCCAAATATCAAAGAGGATATCTCCGCTGATATATCGAATTTTCGAGAGAATTTACGTACGAGAAAAGGAAAAAAAAAAACAATTTTGGAAAACGAGGGGGAAAAAAAAAATTCAAACGACGAATTGAACGTGTATGCGAGATAAAAAAACGAAATACTTCGAAAAAACCTTTTATATTTCTCGAGAAAAAAACTATGACGCGATCGTGTACGTCATTCGTCGTATAATATACATATATATATATATAGGAAATCCGCCTTGACGCGTATGTCCGCGTCACCCGCCGCATTATAGGAAATCCACCATGACGCGTATATTCGCGTTACCCGCCGCATTATAGGAAATCCTCGTGACGCGGAACGTTCGCGTTCATTCGTATTCGTAGGATAGAAAATTCTTATAATTTGCCAATCGTTACGTATGGACGAACTGTCCCTTTTTCCTAGCAACGATCCTCCCTCCCCCTCCGTGATTGAATCGAAAATCGAGGCAAAGAATCAAATGGGAATCGCGGGAAAGAAAGACTAACCGTTTATTTCTTGAAAGGCGAACCTATAGATGATGACCCAGAAGTTGTAAAGGAAGGCGAGGGAAACGACCATCGACCAATAGTAACAGAGACGTCCCGCGGGATCGAAGATGAAGGACCAATTAGGGGCACCCGTACGAAAACCTTTTGTCCCCGCTTGACCCGGGTAACCTCTGCTACCGCGTTGCTGTTGTTGCTGTTGCACCGTGTACCTCCTGGGGAAGATAATTAGGGCAAGACGATTATGCGAAAAGTTACTAGGACGATAGTTCTTTTTTTTTTTTTTTTTTTAATATTGGCGAATCGAAAGGGAATTAAAGCGATAGGAATATGTGTGCGTATGCGTTTCTGAATTTTGAAAATTTTAAATTTTCGAAATTAAAAATCGGATTTCGATATATACGTCTGTAATTATTTTTCGTTGTTTATCGAGAATTGTTAACAAAAAAAAAAAATATATATATATATATATAAATTTTCATTTTACGTCGAAATTTCGATACTCGTCAAATGTATCCATCTCTCGAATAATTCAGCGTGCTACTATTACTTCGATTATTCCAAGTATCGAATATTTGCTCTATCCAACAAAAAGCGTATTCGATATTTTTCTATAGTGCAAGTGTTTGTTGTTAGATATTTACTACACTTTGGTCCGTAAAACTAGATACATGTTTATTGACGGAGATTTTCCATATTAGATTCGCTATTTTATATCGTTTCGTGGTCGCGATCGACACCTCCGTCAAAATTTTCTATTCAACGAAACTAAACGTCGTATCTCGTTTCCCATAAAATTTCCAACGTCTTAAATACGAAAAATTTAACGAAATTTAACACGCAATCAAATGCAAAATGCTAAAGCTTTGCGCAAGCTTAAATTACCAAGACATTATATTCCTATTTTACGATCAGCCGATATAATAACGATACGATTTTTAACGAGGAGTAATAGCGGCACATCTGGCGATTCCGCGTTAATCGAAGGAAAATATCGGCGATCGATACTCACGTTTCGGTGCCGTTGCAGCTGCTATTGCTCAGATGATTGACAGACGCCGGTGTGTGCAAGTGTGATTGATCTCGCGAGAGCGTTACGGTGTACGGTAGCTTGAATCTGCCCCTTAGCTGGTCCCTTCTCTTCGGTTTCCGACTTAAGTCGAACTCGCTCGCCCCTCGGTTCACGTAAGCCCCTTGAAGCGAGTCTCGGGACGAGCTGAAGTATCTCTGCGGCACCGAATACACCTGTAAACCGCGTTTCTCAATTTGTCAACTGTTAATAAACTGGCATCGAAATTGAGAACGCTTTAAAAACGCGGTTAAACGAAGCCAGGAATAAGAATAATTCGATCGAAAGCGAATGCGTTACTTGAGGGAACGAGATATACTGTTCACTTTTGCGAAAAGAAGTTTTGCGGGAAGTTTGGCACAGGGGCAAGAGGAGTTCTCCGTTAGGACCGCCCATCCCCCACTTCAAACGCTGACACCACAGCAGTGGAAGAGCTATAGTTTGAATATTCAAAATTGTAAAAATTATTTTTATTTTCATAAAATTACGTTAGGATAATCATCCAAAACTGAAATATTTTTGAAATACTACCTATAGTTTAGCTTATTCGTATACTCGTTACGTAAATCGTAATTAGTCTACTAGTATATTACGAGAAATACGAAAATTTTTATAATATATCGATATGTTAGAATATTCTGGATTCTATGCCTACGCTACTTATTGAGGTTTAGATGCCTGAATTAGTATATGTGACAAATACCACGGTAGAAACAAAAATGCGTGTGAAAATAGGCGTTTCCACATTAACCAATCAGACGCGCGTTCGTTCCGCGAGACTTCTTTCCACCAGTGAACAGTAGATTAAGTTTATTCGAGTAAGAAATAGGAATACTTATTTCCATTTTATTCTTCTTCGTCTCAAAGAAAATTATTTTTTTTCTTATTATTCTTATTCAGACAATAAAATAATAAAATAGAAGGAAATATATATATATATATATATATATAGAGAGAGAGAGAGAGAAT